GCCACTAAGTGGGCAGCCCTGTTGTACAACCTCTGCGTAAAGGTACAAATAAAGAAATTAAAAGACACAGACGCCAAACAAATCTCTTCCAAGATCGCTCCACCTGTCGCATGCGCCACATCACGAGATTGAATCATAATGGATGGATGTTTGTATGGTCAAGGGAAAACTACGTGCCCCTGCAAAAACAAACAAACACACAAGCGCCCATACTGGAGGACAACTAAGCTCCACTGAATGGACTTAAACAAGCCATTGAGACTTAGTCGGATACTCCGAATCAAAAGCTAACAAGGTCAAAAGAAAAACATTTTTTATTACTTTTTTTTTACAGAAAAGTTAATGAAAAATTTATATATACGAGCAGTTAAGAAAAATAAAATAAAAAGATTTTAGAATTATATTTCTAGAAATAAATAAATATTAAAATTAGGAAGGAAAGAGAAAGCGTATCTGAAACGGATAGCAGTTGGAATCACTTCTGGATTTGTAACCGTTGCTCTGGAATTGTAACCGTCAGACCCCAAAACTGAAGCCTCCTAAAGTGTAACTGCCGGCCGTCGGATTCGCATCGTCGGAAGCAAACTTCGTGCGCGGTGGCGGATTTGTTCCTGAAGGAGAACTTCTTCTTCGGCAGAAGCTCGGCGCTCTGAGTTTCCAACCGCTGCTTCAGTTCCGCGACCGATTTGAGGGCGGATCGGAGCTCGTAGGAAGGGAGAGAGTAGGAGCTCTCGGCGACGAGTTGCTCTAGCGCGGCGATGGAGGAGGAGATTCCGTCGAAGTGAGATCTGATAGCGGATAAATCGATGGAGGAGGAGTTTCCCACCCCTAGTTAGGATGACCTAGAAAGATGCGGCGATCTCTGTCGAGAAGCTTCCCTTGGCGTCTGGTCCTCGATTGGGCTCGCAACGTCGGATTAGCAACCTCTTCCAGAGCTTTTACAATCTTACCACCTTCGCTGGCAGCTTATCCCTCAACCCTCACCAGCCTCAACTCTTCCGAGATATAACTTGCAGCTTTATTGACCCATAAGCCATAATCCAATTAAAAACCGTAACCCAACTAATTCATAACTCTAATGAACCATGCTCTTTTTTTTAACGGTTAATGAATCAAACCCATTGTTATAAGAACCGAACTGGATTAATTGTTTGGACGATTATTGATGGATCAAATGATTTTTCACGGTTCAACATAAAATCAGATGAATCATCGCAGTTTAAATGGTTCACTATTTTAACAAAAAAAAGTACTTCAATATAAACTAAGACCATCAAACCTAATTATTAACTTGGATAAAATCTATTTTCTATCCAAACCTTTTTCAGATTCTTTTATATTATCCAAACTTATTAAAATGCTATTAATTAGTCAAAATTTTCGTAATGCATCAAAATTTTAATCATTTTTATGTTATCGTTTATAATTTTGTAACTTTTTTCTTAGTTAAAATACTAAAATTTTGGAATCTTGACCTTCATGTGTCTCTTTCAAGTCAGTATCATGTTGTCAAGTCAATATTACTAAAAAAAATTCTAACTGAAAGTTAACATTTGGATAATTCTTAGTATTTCGTTAAGTTTGGATAATATAAAAGAATCTGAAAAGGTTTGGATAAAAAATAGACATTACCCTATTAACGTTATATATGCTTCTTCTTCTTCTTCTTCTTCTTCTTCTTCTTCTTCTTCTTCTCATATTTCAACCTTGTTGTCGACTTTATATTATCCACTATCGACTAGCATTGTAATAATCCTGAACGATTCTATCAATGGTTCACCAACGATTTTGTAACGATTAATCACTAAACTCTAAACCACCAACTTTTTCGATTCAGTTTCCGGTCGGGTTCTGGAAACTAAGACCAAACCCCAATCCGCGCGATTGGCCTTTCAATCAAACTCCGAAGACAACCAAAGAAACTGGGAATAATTGGGCCCTCACACCCACTGGGCTTATTGATGATAGGGACCCATTTTGGCATGAATTTCATTAAAGTTAACAAAACTAACAGCAGGTGGATAGTGGACCCCTTTTTTCTGTACATAGCCGTTATGCCACCCATTCATTCCGAATTTCGAAACAAAGAAGAAGAAAAAAAATCATTTTTATGAACATTAAACTGATTATTCAGCATCACTTAATTAAATGTTCATTGATTTAATCCTTTCTCTAACCTAATCTGTTAACTTCCTTTCAGAACGTAAATTGAGATGAAATGAAAAGGGATAAAATATAAAAGAAAAAGAAAATAGAGAATCCGACCGTTGGTCTCTTCTCACCCCGCTTCTCACTTCAAACCAAAACCAAAACCAAAACCAACTCTGCATTTCGTCTTCCCTATCACACTATCTACTTCACCTGCAGCTTCCGTTCGAGGTCCACAATCCACTGAAACGATGGCTTCCGATTCCGTGCTCCACGAAGCAGACAGAGCGGTGGACGGCGCACTTGGGTACCCGAAATCATACGCCAAATGTTGCAGAGATGGCGGCGTCGGCATTTTCAACCAAGGCCCTCCTCTCACCTTCATTCCCTACTACCCAATTCACCACCACCAGGTACTACTTAGTTGTTCACTCTCTTCAAAACCCTCTCAGTTGAAGCTCACTTCAATGGCGGGGATGATGATCAAATAACTGGCCTTCCTTTTTCTCACTCTGTTCCTGGGGTTTCCCTTTTTGTGTAGATCGAAAGAGCTAGAGATTTGGAACAAATGTTTCCAGTTGTCGATCCGAAGGCTAAACCAACAGCAAAGCCTAAGATCTTTGTCAGCTTGCTGTGGAAACAGCTCAATCATCTTGGGTACATGTCAACCATCAAAATTCAAAACCCTCTTTCATCCAATTCCCCCCAAATTGTTTCGAATTTCTAATTGACAAAGTAAGCTCCTTTTTTTTCTCAGGAACGCTGGATTTGATCCGGAGACAATCCGAGTCGACCAGTATGGAAATGTTCTTTATTTCCATGCCGACAAGGCTTCTCCTCTCTATTGGGACATCGACCACTGGTTTCCTTGCTCAAGTACAATAACGGATGCTCTGTTTTTCCCCTGCTTTTACAAACGCTCTGTTTTTTTTCCTTTTCTGCTTAAGTAAATGGATGCTCTGTTTTATCAGGAGGAGGACTGACAGTTCCGAGCAATCTGAGGATCCTGCAATGGCAAGTGTGCAGAAGGAAGCATAACAAGCTCGAATTTCAAGTTCCCTGGTGGGATCTTCAGCTAGGAATATCTGTAAACCAGTTCTTATCCATCTTCGCGTCGTCCAATTCAGATTTTAGGAAGAGAGGGTTTTCGTTTCTGTTCCTCGAAGGCGAGAATGAAGAGCTGAACTCCTCTCAAACTGTTGATTCACATTCCTTCCCGCACCATTTCTCCGAATCCAAGCACGAGCTTGGCCTTGCTCCGGCTGCCATCGTCGTCACTAGAAGAAGAGGAGAGACACAGGATATGGTGTTGAAGTCGTTAGACCATAACAAACAGATTAGACCGTATTCTCCCATAGTTGGTAAGTTGAACCCACGAATGAATGTGAAATGTCGTCATTTCTATTTATCATTTGGCTAACCTCAATTATTTGGTTGCTTTAACAGCTTCAAAGAAGGGAGGTGGGCTGAAAGAGAACGATGACCCTGAATTTGCTCTGAATCCATACCAAGCGATAGTGAAGGCAAGAGATTCCCTGAAGCAGAGAGAAGAGGCTCAGAAGCTAGAGGCAGAGATACGAAACTTGGATGGTGAAGTTGATGAGTTAATGAGAGGGAATGAGACTGAAAAGCTTTTGATTCAAGACCTGGAATTGGAATTGACTAAGCGTAGAAGAAGGGCAGAGAAGTGCAGGCGGCTAGCGGAGGCACAATCTTCTTACAGGACAATGCTAGAGAAGATGATCAGAGATGCTATGCACCAGTAAGAACTAAGAGAGAAAAATTTACATCCTTTTCATCAGAACTCCTTTAAGTTTCTAATATTTCTGTTTTTGGTGACAGGAGTGTGGTGTACAAGGAACAAGTGAGGCTGAATCAAGCAGCAACGAGTGCTTTAATGGCAAGGTTAGAGGCGCAGAAGGCGATCTGTGATGCATCGGAAAAGGAGCTTCACAAGAAGTTCAGGCAAAGGGATGAGCTTGAGAAGGAGATAAGGCATGGATGGGAGGAAGACCAACAAGCCAGGAAGAGATTGAGAGTAGATGATGTTGATGATGAAGAAGAAGAACAAGAGGTTGATGATTTTGTTCATAGCAAAGCTATTGGTTATGTAGAGGATAAGGTAAAAGAAGAAGTTGATGATGAGCATGACAGGTTAGTTTCTGAGTTGGAGAGCCAAGTGTTAATTGAGGAGAAGCTTCAAGCTCTCGAGATCGACGAGGAGGAAAAGAAGCAGCCCAAGGAGGAGGAGGAGGAGAAGGTGGCTACTAAGTTGCCGATGATTCGAGGAAAAGAAAGGGAGGATGTCGAAGTTGAAGAAGATGCGGAAAGGAAGAACCAAAGGGGGAAGGGAAATGTAGACAAGTGGCTGCAATTGCTGCTGGAGGGCAGCGCTTTCGTTGAAGAAGACTTTGAACCAGAAAAAACTGCACCTCCACCACCCTACAGGAGAAGCAGCATCAGTACTACTGAAGACATAATCACAAAACTGAACAACAAGTTCCCACAGAGAGAGCCAACACAGCAGCACCATGAAGAAGCAGGTGAGAAACTGACTGTTGCAAGGAATGAGAACTTTGATAAGGGAAAGCAAGGGAAGAAAAAGGGACTCGTAAGGTCTGAGAGCGCCAAGACATTGAGAAGGATCCCATCGTCTCCATCGTTGTTGATATCGAGTGTGAGAAAAGGTGTTGAATCCATGCTGAAGAAGAAGAAATCAATACGGTGAAGCAAGTTGGTGATGAAAATGTGGGAGTTCTTTTCTTGCTTTCATGGATGGCAGAAGTCTAATGGTGTATTGCTAGCTTACTGGCATTTGTGTGTGTGCTTATCTATAGTTCATTCTTTCTGATTCTTTAGTATGTTCGTGTTCTTGAGTGAGTGCTTTGTTGTACTGCTGAAATTGATAACAGCTTGTTGTGTGATACTTTGTTTGAGAGAGACCACTAAAACATTGTAATATATATAATATCTGTTTTAATCTCCCCTTGTTTAGGCTTTACTAGGAGAGCAATATGCCCCCATCCGAAAGTTACAGCTTATTCAATTGTAACAATGTTCATATTGAATATAGCCTTCCTCTGTGGTGTTGTTCCCTCACAGGATGATGTATGGTCTCTGAAGGAATAGTATGCAGCTTATAGCATGGATTGACATCTATCACGCTCGGTCCTTACATGGCTCCTTGTTATGTCCTTGAGGCTAGTACAGCCAGCAAGCGCCATAGCGAGCTCCAACTCTTCCTTCAGCATCTGAATCACTTGCTTCACCCCATGTTCTCCCTTTGCAGCCAACCCATATAAGATCGGCCTTCCAACCTACACCACACGGAACATGAGCAAAAGCTGAAGATATATGGCTGGTAGGATCGAAACCTGACCGGACCAACTTTGACATGAATGCAGTTGTAGGAAGCTTACGAGGACTGCTTGTGCACCCAATGCCAATGCTTTGAACACATCGGTTCCTCGCCTCACTCCTCCATCCACTATCACCGGAATCTTGCCTTTCACAGCATGAACCACCTGCATTTTGACAACCCACAGGATCATGGTTACAGTCAAATCACTAGGAAAAAGAAAACCTTACTTATTAATGAATGGATCAAGCTTAGCACCTCCTCAACGACATTGATGGTGGCTGGACTGTAGTCTAACTGACGACCTCCATGATTTGAGACAATAACCCCTGCAGCACCTACTTCAACAGCTATTCGTGCTGCCAATGAGAGTTCATCAAGCATGTAGTAAAACAACATGTTGCAGTCATCATCCTAAAAAACTCTCGAGTATTTGAACTTGTTACCATCTTCATGAGTGATTATTCCCTTGAGCAGAATTGGCAACTTTGTGATGGACTTCAGCCACGCTACATCCTGCCCATTTATGTGTGAAACTTCTGTTGTGTAGGAAAACAAAGAAAAAAAGAAAGAAAAAATTTGTTAATAGTCCTCTACTGTTTTGGCCACCTTCCAACTCAAAGAAGGATCCAAGGTAGAATTCACATATGCTTCCAAGTTTGAGCCACCATCCTGCAGAAGCAGCATTCATCATGATCCTAGAATGCCTGAAAAACAATCAATCGGCAGGATAGATAAATAAGTTCATCATTCTCACTTACAGCGTCAACCTCAGTCGATACCAAGCCTTCGACATTCTTCTGCTTTGAGACAATCATTCTGCACAAAAGTTACACCTGTTTGACATGTGTAGTAACCTTACAAACTCTTTGGCTAATGGAACAGGATTGAATATCCCCAACCGGAAAGAACACTGCTTATGCAATAAGACGAGAACCTATTCTTTATGTCTGCCTCCCTACGACCCATTCTTGGACAGTCTACTGTCAACACTATAGCCTTATATCCACTCCTTTCAGCTCTCTCCACCAAGTTGGCAGCTACATGCCGTTGTTTGTACACCTAAATCAAGTAACATAGCACCTACATAAGATCTCCAGTTAGGATCCAGCTAGAAAAGAAAGAACTTAGAGGGAAGTAAAGTACATATAATTGGAAGAAACGAACTGCATTGCAGCTAGCAGCAACCTCCTCCACACTGTAACTAGACCCGAACGATAAAATCTGGAACGATTAAAAGCAAGTCCCTGTCATTAAAATGGCAAACATATGTACAAGAGGATAATGTAATGCAGAGTTCGTTAGCTTATCGCAGTTTTTCGATTAGTAACCATGATGGTGTTAGAAGCAGCAGCAGCTCTAGCAGTGGCAAGTTCTCCTGCAACACACAAACAGAAAGCAAGGCTCTGTAACTTTGGAATCTAAAACAAAACCAACTCATTGGGTTTAAGAGACAGAGAGCGTCTCGATGACCTTCTGGATTTGCTAGCTTGTGGAGGCCACTAGGTGCCACCATAATGGGAGATGAGATAGAGTAACCCAACATTCTAGTACTCATGTCTATTCTGCTCACATCTACCAGAACTCTTGGACGAATCCTGAAGCCATTAGAGATGATAATTACCAAAAGTGCGTTTTGTTGTTGTTGTTGTTCTTTGAAGCAATGCAACTGAAACTGAGTCAAAGTAGAGATAGTAACGTGATTCGCTGATAAGCTTCCTCGTTGGCTTTCAGCGTGTGTTCATCCTCGGCTCCCCCAGCATAGAACTCAAAGTACATTTTGGGAAGGGCTCTTTCAGCCAATGCTTTGAATTCGTTAACATTGACTGGCTCACTTGACATGGTAACCTTCCTGGAAACACATAAGCTCAACAAGAACCATCAGCAGGATAACCCTATTATGAATTTGGGGATAAATTAAATGAAGGAATCGAAGCTATCAAATTTATTCAAGACCTCCATTAATTAGTTAGATGCTTGAATTCAAGACCAAAAAGATTCAGACTTTTTAATAAAAGAAGGAAAATAAAAATTCACCCCAGTAACTCGCGAATGATTTGCAGAACCATGTCCAGAACCCAGTTCATCAATTCCAGAGTTAAAGACATAAAAATTCTTGACCCCCATTGCACAGTGAAAAGTAGCTATAGATCAAATACCTGGAGCAAGGGAGGAATCAAGGCAAGTTGAGGTAAGGAGAGAAGATAACTCAATTGAAGGTATGGAGGGGAAGAGAAGATATGGACGATGAATTGAGAGGAACAGAATATTGAGTGATGTAAGTGAAGGATTCTCTGAAATCTTTGCACATTTTGGTAGTGGTTTCACTGTTCCTTTACAAAATGTTAATATCATAAATTTTTTGCTTTCTGACGATATATTACAGAAGTTAATATATGGTTAGCTATACAGTATACACAAATTACTGTTACAATTAGAGGGGAGGAGGAGATTGATAAGAAGTCCACGTCATTCAAATCCAACATTTTAAAGTTAGGACAGTATCATGCTCTTGATAGGCGAAAAGCATGTTGTACACAAATTTGAGAGAAAGCTTTCTTACACTTTCTTCCTGGATGGCAGAAAATGTTGCATTAGTGCCATTTGTGTATGTAGCAGTTAGTAGATCGTTTGCAAGCATTAATTAATATATTAACTAGGTGGCGATTCCGCGCTTTGTCGCGGGACGAAGATGGTCTACGGGCATGTATTATGTGACCCGTTATAGTATTTTGTTAATATTATTATCCTAAAATTAATTTTTTATTAGCACTTTTGTTAGTAATATTGATTGAATAGAGATATTTGGCGGTCAACTTCCAATTTAAAAAATCTTGTAAATTTTGACTAATAAATGATATTTACCTAAACCCATATAGACCCATTGATTATGGGTAGGGTATGGGTGACGTATATATGGGTTTGGAAGTTTGTAGATGAGTTTGAGTAGTGTACGGATATTTACTTTCATAATCTAAATGTGTATGAGTTAGGTATTGATACTCATTTAGTCGAGAGTGTTTTAATTACACATACAAAAATTAGACCTATTTGTAGAACTTTAAAAGTTTAGGTACTAAAATGTAATACATAAAAATTCTACGTACTAAAATGTAATATTCCATCAATATTATGAGGACTTATATGCCAAAAAAATAAATTTAAGGTATAAATCTAAAGATCTATTAAGTTTAGGTATCCAACTGTAATTTGCATAGTTTAGGCTTAACTCCTTTTATAGTGATGTATTTAAGATGATAATTATTTTTTTATAGAAAATAGGACACTATTTATTTGATGTGTATAATTGTTGAAAATTCCATGCGTTGTTGAAAATTTTAGCCCGGGTGAAAAAAGAAAAACTCTAAAGAGAAGCAGAAGGAATACAACAATGTGTTTAATTGGACTCAACATTGACCTGAAAAAATAATGGTTCATGGTTTAATTATTAATTCTCTACACCGTTGGCCGTCAATACAACAATCAACCATTTTCACCGTAGCAATTTATTGACACTTGCCTATGTAGATGTCGCATATGTTGTTACATGTAGTTAGTAGACGTTTGTTTAGTCCCCCGTAAATGTACTAAATGAATTTATAAATCCGCTCTTGCCATATTTTAGAGTCATCTCGCTTTTATTATTTATTTAATGTTTCCCGTAACGATCAAATATAAAATGGTGGAATCTTCTCCTACAGTTGAGTGATAAAACATCTTGTATGGTACAACCTAAATTTATACGTTTATCTTATGGTGGATTGGATTCATGGATTGGACCAATATGTAAATTTGAAAAATTGTAGGTATGAAAATCTCATAAAATTTATATACCAAAACATAATTGTTCAATCGTTTTACATTAAAATTAAATTTGAGATATTAAAATATAAAATATATATTATAATGACTAAGTTGTAATTTAATTAAATTTGGGATATCAAAATGTAATTTAGGCAACAGTAACCATACTTCACTTATATATATATTAATTAATTAATATATAAAAGCCTAGGTTTGAGTTACTATTCATAGGTGGCTCTCAAACTCCTTCAAATGCAAGTGGGGAAGTTCCAAGCCATTCTTTTACCTCACTCTCCATCCTACAACCTTTGTGTTAAGTTATTGTTCACTAGGTTTTCGTCTATAACTTTTAGCACAAATCGACGCCTTTGTTGAGCATGATCACAATTCAACCCAAATATATGGGTATCCAACCTTCTTTGATCCAGTCAAAGCGACTTGAAACCGATTTTAGCATTTTTAAATTTCTCTTTTTTATCCTTTTGGTTGGAATTATTTTAATATTTAAGAGCCTAGGTTTCAGTTACTATTTATTAGTGGCTCTCACACACCTTCAAATGCAAGTGGGGAAGTTCCAAGCCATTCTTTTAGCACAAATCATCGCCTTTGTTGAGCATGATCACAATTGAACCCAAATCTATGGGTATCCAACCTTCTTCGATCCGGTCAAAGCGACTTGAAACCGACTTTAGCATTTACAAATTCCTCTTTTTTTCTTCTTTTGGTTGGGAAAACAATTGAACCCGAATCTAAGGTATTGACGAGTATTGTATTGTGAGCGAGGTTTATCCACTTTTGTATTTGGCAGGTTGTACGAAGTTTTAATTTGTTAATATATAAAAGTCTAGGTTTGAGTTACTATTCATTAGTGGCTCTGACACTCCTTCAAGTGCAAGTGGAGAAGTTCAAAGCCATTCTTTTATCCTACTCTTCACCCTTCAACTTTTCTATTTAGTTATTATTCACTCGGTTTTCGTCTATAACTTTTGGCACAAATCATTGCCTTTGTTGAGCATGATCACAATTGAACCCAAATCTATGGGTATCCAACCTTCTTCGATCCGGTACAAGCGACTTGAAACCGACTTTAGCATTTATAAATTTCACTTTTTTTCTTCTTTTGGTTGGGAAAACAATTGAAACAAAATCCATATATAAAAGCCTAAGTTTGAGTTACTATTCATTAGTAGCTCTCATTCTCCTTCAACTGCAAATGGGGAATCTCCAAGCCATTCATTTACCCCACTCTCCACTCTCCACTCTCCACTCTCCATCCTACAACCTTTGTGTTTAATTATTGTTCGCTAGGCTTTCGTCTATAACTTTTGCCACAAATCATCGCCTTTGTTGAGCATGATCACAATTGAACCCAAATCTATGGGTATCCAACCTTCTTCGATCCGGTCAAAGCGACTTGAAACCGACTTTAGCATTTATAAATTTCTCTTTTTTTCTTCTTTTGGTTGGGAAAACAATTGAAACAGACTCCATATATAAAAGCGTAGGTTTGAGTTACTATTCATTAGTAGCTCTCATACTCCTTCAAGTGCAAATGGGGAAGTTCCAAGCCATTCTTTTACTCCACTCTCCATCCTACAACCTTTGTGTTTAGTTATTGTACGCTAGGTTTTCGTCTATAACTATTGGCACAAATCATCGCCTCTGTTGAGCATGATCACAATTGAACCCAAATCTATGGGTATCCAACCTTCTTCGATCCGGTCAAAGCGACTTGAAACCGACTTTAGCATTTATAAATTTCACTTTTTTTCTTCTTTTGGTTGGGAAAACAATTGAACCCGAATATAAGGTATTGACGAGTGTTGTATTATGAGCGAACTTTATCCACTTTTGTATTTGGCAGGTTGTACAAAGTGTTAATTAATCTATAAATGCCTAGGTTTGAGTTACTATTCATTAGTGGCCCTCACACTCGTTCAAATGCTAGTGGGGAAGTTCGAAGCCATTCTTTTACCCTACTCTCCATCCTACAACCTTTATGTCTAGTTATTGTTCGCTAGTTTTACGTCTATAACTTTTGGCACAAATCATCGCCTTTGTTGAGCATGATCACAATTGAACTCAAATCTATGGGTATCCAACCTTCTTCGATCCGGTCAAAGCGACTTTAAACCGAAATTAGCATTTATAATTTTCTCTTTTTTTTCTTCTTTTTGTTGGGAAAATAATTGAACTCGAATCAAAGGCATTGAGGAGTGTTGTATTGTGAGCGAGCTTTAAGCACTTTTGTATCTGGCAGGTTGTACCAAGTGTTAATTTGTTAATATAAAAAATCCTAGTTTGAGTTACTATTCATTAGTGGCTCTGAAACTACTTCCAGTTCAAGTGGGGAAGTTCCAAGCCATTCTTTTACCCCACTCTTCATCCTACAACATTTGTGTCTAGTTATTGTTTGATAGGTTTTCGTCTATAACTTTTGGCACAAATCATCTCCATTGTTGTGCATGATCACAATTGAACTCAAATCTATGGGTATCCAACATTCTTCGATCCGATCAAAGCAACTGTAAACCGAATTTAGCATTTATAAATTTCTCTTTTTTTTCTTCTTTTGGTTTTGAAAATAATTGAACCCGAATCTAAGGCATTGGCGAGTGTTGTATTGTGAGCGAGCTTTATGCACTTTCGTAATTGGCAGGTTGTACCAAGTGTTAATTTGTTAATAAATAAAAGCCTAGGTTTGAGTTACTATTCATTCGTGGCTCTCACACTCCTTCAAGTGCAAGTGGGGAAGCTCCAAGTCATTCTTTTACCCCACTCTCCACCCCACAACCTTTGTGTTTAGTTATTGTTCGCTAGGTTTTCGTCTATAACTTTTGGCACAAATCATCGCCTTTGTTGAGCATGATCACAATTGAACCAAAATCTATAGGTATCCAACCTTTTTCGATCCGATCAAATCGACTTGAAACCGACTTTAGCATTTATAAATTTCTCTTTTTCTCTTCTTTTGGTTGGCAAAACAATTGAACCCAAATCTAAGGTATTGACGAGTTTTGTATTGTGAGCGAGCTTTATTCACTTTTTGTATTTGGCAGGTTGTACCAAGTTTTAATTTGTTAATATATAAAAGCCTAGGTTTGAGTTACTATTCATTAGTGGCTCTCACACTCTTTCAAGTGCAAGTGGGGAAGTTCCAAGCCATTCTTTTACCCCACTCTCCACCCCACAACCTTTGTGTTTAGTTATTGTTCGCTAGGTTTTCGTCTATAACTTTTGGCACAAATCATCGCCTTTGTTGAGCATGATCACAGTTGAACCCAAATCTATGGGTATCCAACCTTCTTCGATCTGGTCAAAGCGACTTGAAATCGACTTTAGCATTTACAAATTTCACTTTTTTTCTTCTTTTGGTTAGGAAAACAATTGAATCTGAATCTATATATAAATGCCTAGGTTTGAGTTACTATTCGTTAGTAGCTCTCATAATCCTTCAACTGCAAGTGGGGAAGTGCCAAGCCATTCTTTTACCCCACTCTTCATCCTACAACCTTTGTGTTTAGTTAGTGTTCGCTAGATTTTCGTCTATA